GCATCAGGCAAACCCCTGCCGCTGCCCCCCGCAGCCCCGTCAGCCCCCTCCGGGCAGGCGCTCCCACTGCTGCTGCTGTAATGGGTCTCTGAGCATCCCAGCTCAGCCCCACACCCCTGAATAAGCCCCTTGTTGGAAAGGCTATTTTGGGAGGGTCCAGGACCTGTCCCCCTCCCCCAGAGCCTGTGAAGCGTTTTCCTCCCGCTTGCCGGCTGTAGCTGAAACATTGCTGCTATTCATCCAGCTCCCAACGTCCCTGCAGCGGCTGGGCCGAAGAATGGGGAGCGTCCAGCACGTCCCATTCATCCTTCACCTCAATAGCCGGGAGCGCTGGCCCCGGGTCTCTGCTGGCCTCCATGCACAAAGGAGCTCGGCTACGGCCAGAGCAGGCACCTCCCATTCCTCTCCTGGTGCTGTCTGGGCCGGTTTTGCATTGATTAAAAATTGGTCCCTTTGCGGCGATGGGATAAAGGATGAGACATCCCGACACCTGGGCTCCGAACACGTGCTGCAGAGCCACCAGCCGCTAACCAGATTGATTGACTTCTATTACTGCCCTTGGAAAGGGGCGCGGAGGAACGCCCCGTTTCAGATGCCGCATGTTGTGGGCTTGGCCAGGAGCAGGAGGTGAAATTGTCCCAGTGACAGCTTTTGCATTGCACAGCCTTGGCAGAGACAAATTTGGTTTTCCCCTTCGCCCAGGGCTGTGCTGTGCCTGGCCGAAGGGAAGGCAGCCCGCTCCCCACTGAGCAGCTCGCTGCTAGGGAGCGCTGTGGCTTTTGCACTTGGACCTGACGGTGGGGTTTCAGCGCTGGCTCAAAGCATGGGCCTTTGTTCCCATTATTTGGTTTGCTCCAGGTCCCTTGGACATCTGCCCTGGTGAGCAGCGAGGCCACGGCTGTGCTGGTAGAGGGCTGGCAAGTCCCCACATTCAGCACTTGTCCCCAGCTCCTAGGCTGCGGATGCCAAAATTGCTCCTGCCCCAGAGACTCTGGGGTGGCCCGGGGCAGCAGGTCAGTCTGGGGGTGCTGGGAGCTGTGCCCTCCATGGAAAGGGTTGCAGGAGTGCATGGTCCCATCCCAGCTTGGGATAATCAGCCCGGTTTGGTTTTGGTGGAAACCACGGGCAGAGCAGGCAGCAGGGCAGTGGTCCTGCAATGCTTGTGCAAGGCCCAAACCCTTGGGAGATACCTGTGGGCTGGACCAGGGTGTGGAAGCAGCAAACTGTTCCTGCTTGTCCTGGCTCTGCTGATGGCTTCTCTCTCCCTCTCATTTTGGCCTCCAGGACGACATGACCGACTCCCTGCGGGATTACACCAACCTGCCCGAGGCTGCGCCCCTGCTCACCATCCTGGACATGTCGGCCCGGGCCAAGTACGTGATGGATGTGGAGGAGATCACGCCCGAGATCGTGGAAGCCTTTGTCAGCGACTTTCTAGCAGACAAGCTAAAACCCGAGCCCATCTAAGGGGGCTTCTGCGCCAACAGACGTTATTTAAAACTAGGTCTCTCTTCCGCCGCTCGTGGATTCTCCAGCGTGTCCTCACGCCTGACCCAGTATCCAACCTTCTTGTGGTGCCTTGTTTTACGCAGTGAATCCTTCTCCTAAGCAAACTCCTTGAGATGCACTTTCAGCAGGGAGTCGTTGGCGTTTGGAGACTTCGCTTGTGCTTCATGGTGATATATTCTCTAATAACCAGGCCAGAACTGTTACCGTATTGTTATTTTATACACGGCACTAGCTAGCAGGCAAATCTTTTTGCATGGTGTTCTTCCCAACGTATGCATCAGGCAGTGGATGGGGTTCTCGGGGCTCTTTTCTTCTTCTTCCCCTTCTTTCCTTTCCTACCACCCCTGCTGACTAAGTGACTTTAAGGAAGCAATAAGGAAACTGTCCCCTTCGCCCCTGGCCCGTCCTCTTTTCCCACACGAGTGCCCTGATGAGGCCGAGACAAAGTCTTAACTGCTGACAACCTCTGAAAGACCACGGCGCAGCGGAGCTCTTCCTCCTGGGGGTGAGACCCTTCCAGGTGGGTTTCCCACCTCCCACCCCGAGCACCAACAGCCTTAGGCGGTGCTGGCTGTACGTGTTGGGGGCTCACCCGCCTGCAACGGGTGGGTGTTCCCTCCCTCCCTCTCTGAGCTGGGAGGAGGATCCCCCCCCGGCTGCCCTCGCCTCTCTCGTCTCTCCCTTGTGCTCTCCCCATCCCCTCTCGTCCCTTCTCTCTGGTATGAATTGTCCTCCCCCCCTCTATGTTAGTTGATTGAGCTGTTTTCCGTAGGTGTGTCCCAAACCCAACGTTAATGGTGCTGTTCTTTAAAAAATAACCAAAAAACCCCCACCCCCAACAAAAAAAAAAAATAAATCCTTCCTTAACCCAAGCAGCACAGCCGAGCCCCTGAAAAGTGACATTGTAAAAACTGTACATGGTGATTGGAACTTTGTAATAAAACCGTTATAATAACCTCATCCCCGGAGGTGCCGATTGCCACGTTCCGACGATGAGGAGAGGGAGCCCACCTGGGACCCCTGCGGCGGGAGGAGCCCCCAGCCAGACCCATGGGGTAGGTGTCGGTGCTGGCAGCTCCCAGCGCTGCGGCGGCTGAGCCGGGTTAG